TAACCTACAGCACCATACCAGTATTCTGCAAGAGCTATAGCGATTATTTAGTTCTGCTCTGGAGTTTAAAGTCTGAACGCTTTTGCTTACAAATGACTCCAGTTGTGTTCCATCTTGTGCCTAAGTTTAAATGTTCAGAATCCAATTTTTCTTGACAGCTGAACTGCCAGAGTTAGAAATGAAATGTCTTTGGGAGTGGGTTTTGGGCCATTTTCCTAGCCAGCACAGGACGAATAGAAAGTCCCTCCCAGGAGCCTTCCTCTAGATTTGCCCCTTAACGATAGGTTGTGATGTTGCTACTCTAGAATCTCAGAGATTGTCTATAAACTTTCCTCCTTGCTTCTGTAGGTATGTGAAACATTGTTGCCATCAGTCCTGGTTGTGGAGGAGATTCCATTGTTCTCTGTACCCTATAAAAGGTCACCATGTGGAGCTAGAACTCTGGAAAACTTACCATGGCATCATATCAATGATTTCCCTCATCAGGGTGATCTGTATTTTTTTTTTTTTACTTTTGTTTACAACTTAATAAAGAATCTCAGTAATATTTATAGGGCTACTGGTGTGGTGCTGTAAGATCAGAACTGGACTACAAACCACAAGGTCGGCAGTTCAAACCTACTAGCTGCTCCTCAGAATTTTAATATATAGGGCCGCTGTGAGTCAGAACTGACCCAACGACACTTAACAAGCAACAATAACATAATATTTATGTGTGCCTGATGCACACAATGGTGCTATGAAGTTGATTCCAACTTGATACCCTACGTACAACAGAATGAAAGATTGTCCAGGTCTGTGCCATCCTCACAAGCATTAAGCTTGAGCCCATTGTTGCTGCCACTATGCCATCCATCTCACTGACCCTCCACTTTACCAGGCAGGATGTCCTTCTCCCAGGACTGGTAGCGCCTGATAATATGTCCGAAGTATGAGAGATCAAGTCTGGCCATACTGGTTCTAAGGAGCATTCTGGCTGTATTTCTTCCAACACAGATTTGTTTGTTCTTCTGATAGTCCGTGGTGCTTTTAATATTTTTCTTCAATACCATAACTCAAATGCATCAATTCTTTTTAATGTTTTCCTTATTCATTGTCCAATTTTCACTTGTATTATGAACCTATTGAAAATACCATGGTTTAGGTCAGGCACACCTTAGTCCTCAGACTGACATCTTTCCTCTGGAACACATTAAAGATGAAACTAATTTCCCTGATTGTTGGTTTCTAATTCTAGCTGATTTGAAACTTTCGTTGTTTTTGAACTCTGTCCTACTTTGGAGATACCTGAAAGCAATGATTCCTGTGTGTCCATAGACATGCAAATTAATTCTGTCAGAGGGACAATTGATTTCCCTCCTACAACTCTGTGGAGTCAGTCAATATAGAGTTTACTTGTAAATTCCTTTTACTGGCTAATATATTCATACACATACATATATATGTACACATAAAATATAAAATACATAACATATCATATATGTGATACATAATATATATGCAACTTTTAGGATATATATAAAATATATAGGAGGGTAAGTATAAAATGTTCTGATACAAAATTATACAAATATTTGTTAAATGAAATTATCAAAATATGAATCTATTTTTTCTTGACATATCCTTGATCTATGTCTATATGAACTAAACAATGTCGATTTGAACTGCAAGGTTGGTGGTTCAAAGCCATCAGCTGCTCCTCAGAAAGGCTACTGTTGTTTTGTTGTTGTTAAGGTTGCTATGAGTTGGAACCAACCTGATGACATTTAACAACAACCACTACAATCCTTCTCCAAACAATTCTGGATTTATACTGTGTCTAAAGTGAATCCTTGTGGGACTCAAATCATGTTCCTTTTCAATGTTCTTTGAGTTTGGGGAACAAAAAGAAGTCTAAAGGTGTAAGATCAGGATTATAGAGTGTATAGGGTAACAAAATTATTGTAGAGCAGGCTTTATTATCCTTGAAGAATGAGCAGGTGCACTGTAGTGATGGAAAGTAATTCTTCAGTACAACTTCCCTGGCCTTTAACTCACCAATGTACTTTTCAGTATTCTTAAACTGAAATTTGTAATAAGTCCCCACTATTGTCCTGTATCCTTTGAAAATATGTATTAAGATTCCCCCACCCCTTGGAATCCTGAAAAACAGTTATCATAACCTTCTATGTTGACTTCTCTGCCTTGAATTTAATTGGCCCAATAGATACACTACCTGAATTTAGAGCTCATCAGAAGAACATATTTGATACATTAGACACTAAAGGCAGAAGACCAGACGAGTTGTGGGATGACATCAAGAACATCACACAGAAAGAAAGCAAAGATCATTAAGAAGACAAGAAAGAAGGGAAACATCAAATTGGATGTCAGAAGAAACACTTAAACTTGCTCTCTAGCATAGAAATGATAAAGCAAATGGAATAAATGAGGAGGTACAAGAGTTGAAAAGAAAATTTCAAAGGTCAGCCTGAGAAGACAAAGTCAAATATTATAACAAAATATGCAAAGATCTGAAGCTAGAAAACCAAAAGGGAAGAACACACTCAGTATTTCTCAAGCTGAGGTAACTGAAGAAAAAATTCAAGCCTCAGCTTTCATTATTAAAGGATTCTATGGGCAAATGATTGAATGATACAGAAAACATCAAAAGAAGATGGAAGGAATACTCAGAGTCACTGCACCAACCATTTCAAGAGGTAGCTTATGATCAAGAGCCAATGATACTGAAGGAAGAAGTCCAGGGTACATTGAAGGAATTGGCAAAGAACAAGGCACCAGGAATTGATGGAATCAAAATTGAAATTTTTCAAGAAAGTGAGGTGGCACTGGAGGCACTCACTCTTCTCTGCCAAGAAATTTGGAAGATGACTATCTGGCCGACTGATTGGAAGAGATCCGTATTTGTGCCCATTCCCATTGGGAATGTGGAAATCATCAGACAACCTCTTTGATATCCCATTCAAGTAAAGTTTTACTAAAAGTAATACAGAAATGGTTACAAGCATACATTGATAGAGAACTTCCAGAGGTTTAAGCCGGATTCAGAAGAAGCCGTGGAATGAGGGATATCGTTGCTTATGTCCAATGGATCTTGGCTGAAAGCAGAGAATACCAGAAAGATATTTACCTGTGCTTTATTGACTACGCAGAGGCTTTTGATTGTGTGGATAATGACAAGCGATGGACAACATTATGAAGTATGAATATTCTGGAACATTAATTGTGCTCATGAGGAACCTGTATCTGGACCAAGAGGCAGTTGTTCGAACAGAACATAGGACCACTGAATGGTTTGAAATTAGGAAAGATGTGTGACAGGGTTGTATTCTTTCACCATATTTATTCAACCTGTATGCTGATCAAATAATCTGAGAAGCTGGGTTATGTGAAGAAAAACGTGGCATCAGGATTGGAAGAAGGCTCATGAACAACCTGCGATGTTCAGATGATACAACCTTGCTTGCTGAAAGTGAAGAGGACTTAAAACATTTACTGATGAAGATGAGTGACTACAACCTTCGGTATGGATTGCATCTCAATGTAAAGAAAACAAAAATCTTCACAACTGAAACAATAAACAACATTCTTAGCACTGGATAGAAGATTCAAGTTGTCAAGGACTTCATTTTCCTTGGATTAACCATCAGCATTTATGGAAGCAGCAATCAAGAAATTAAATGATGTATTGCATTAGGTAAATCTGCTGCACAAGAACTCTTTTAAAGTGTTGAAGAGCAAAGATGTCAGCTTGAGGACTAAGGTGTGCCTGACACAAGCCTTGATATTTTCAATAACCTTACATGCATGCAAAAGTTGGGTAGTGAATAAGGAAGATTGTAGAAGAATTGATGAATTTGAGTTATGATATTGCAGGAGAATATTGAAAGTGCCACGGGCTGCCAAAAGAACCAACAGATCTGTGTTGGAAGAAGTGCAACTAGAGTACCACTTGGAGTCCAGAATGGCCAAACTTCATCTCTCATACTTCAGACATATTGTCAGGAGGGACCAGTCAGTCACTGGAGAAGGATATCATGTTTGTTAAGGTGTAGGGTCAGAGATAAAGAGGAAACCCCCAGCATTTGGCAAAACGGCACCATCAATGTGCTCAAGTGTGGCAACAATTGTGAAGTTGGCCCAGGACTGGGCAATGTTTCATTCTGTTGTGCGTAGGGTCGCTATCAGTCAGTACCGACTAGATGGCACCTAAAAACAACAACAATAATACTCTCAGAAGCTACAGTTTGATTTGATCTTTTTTCTAAAGGTACCCTAATGAGACTAAGACAAGTGTATTTCTGAAAGAACTTGTCTGCAAGACACCAGACATATATATTAAACATGTTTTGTTTAGGATAAACCTGTGCATATATACACTGGAACCCTAGTAGCAATACTTACTGACTTACCTTCTTATATTTTACATGTGCAGTTTTAGTATTTGCCTTTGTAGTTACTGGTTTCCTCGCTGATTAAAGAATTAAATAAGAGCCTTGACATATGTTCATTATGTATCTGTATGGGAGTCATGATTATTCTCTTGAAAATTATGGCAATGCCAACTAATAGCACATTTTCTAAATTTATAAAAAGAAGAAATGAAAAAATACACTAAAAACATGTCAAGACCATGTTTTTTCTGTTGTCACAAGACGTGTTACTTTGCATTCTTACATTTCTCTAAGTCACATATATTTCCAGGAAAGACATGACAACAAGTTTTCTTTTTTATTCACTGTTATAAGTGCTGGACCACTAACTGCAAGGTTGGTGATTCAAACCCACTAATTGCTCCTTGGACATCCTATACAGGGTCCTTATGAGTTGGAACTGACTTGATGGCACTTAAAAACACCACCAACAATGTACAAGCTACGTCACATTGAAATCAGTAGATATTCAGTAAATTTAAGATTTAAAATTCCTTAATAAAAAACTGAAGCCATAAGCAACTGGGCAGCATACATATACCATTTATTGAAAACAATGGCATGCATTTAGTTTGTGGGTCTATAGTTCATGTGGATTTCTGGTTTCATATTGTAGACCATGCTCAGAAGCTGGTTCATCACACTCTCCAGGTACTGATTGTAGCTTCCATTCAGATCTTGTATCTTCACTAGTGCTTGCTCTTCTATTTCTTCTGCAAGATTACTCTGAGAGCCCATTATCTACCAAAATAGAACAGGCACAATTTACCACGTTATCCATCATATTGAGGAGATCCAGTGACACACTGGTTAAATACTCAGTTCAACCAGGCAGTGTTTCGTTCTGTTGTACATAGGATCGTTATGAGTTGGTACCAACTCGATGGCACCTAACAACAAACCAAAAGGTCAGTGACTGGAACCTACCAATGGCTCCTTGAGAGAGAAAAACCTAGCAGTCACCTCCCATAAAGATTGTTATTGTTGTGTGTCATTGAGTCGCTTTTGACTCATGGTGACCCCATATAGGGTTTTCAAGAGCAGCTGGTGGGTAGGAACTGCTGATCTTGTGGTTAGCAATCCATTGCTTTTCCTACAGTGCTACACCAGGGTTTGTAAAGAGTAAAATGTAGGAAACTTTACTGTGTAGTTCTGTAGGGTAAGAATTGAGTTGATCTCAACAATAGCAACAACATCTACCATATTCAAATGTAATTATTTTGGAAGTTAAATTTGTTTTGGTCCACTAGAGATTTATTCTGCTTTTCCTTGATTATTCATTGGTGCACACACTGTATATTGTTTTACCAGAATTTTCTCATGGACAAGATCACTAATACCATGAGTGAGCTGGATAAATATTTTCTGAGAATTGGAAGGCATCATGGCATGTTATTTCTAGTTCTAAGCTGACCTCCACCTAGTGCAAATCAAATACAAGTTTACAACCATTAAGTCATGCTTCAATTATTTTTTTTCATCACATTTTCATGTATTTATAATAATTTCCTTTTAGTTCCAGTATCGTTCCTACTGCTTAGGTTATGAACTACAACTCTGGAAAATAAATTTGAAAAATGTCAGTAAATCTATCTTTGCTAAAAAAGTAAATAACTGACTGATTGGTTTTTTTTAAAAACATCATCTGAATTGATGAAATCATGCATTCCTCATTCTCCCAGGTAACATAGCTACAGGATGTCAGGTAGGATACTTTACATGTATAGCAATATCATTTTGGGTAATAAACGCAATCATAAAATTTTTACTTGAAATTCGTAAATGGAATTTGCTCTAAACTGAATTACATTATAATTTTAGACAATTTAATATTTTTTCACATTGCTCTTTAATAGCCAGCGATACCCAGAATTTCCCATTGTTTCCTCTGTCCTTTCAGTTTTTCCACCTAGTATCACCAAAATATTTCTCCAGGAGAGTTAAAGATGTAAGGAAATTTGACATTGCCAATCTTGGCAAACACAGGCTTTGCTAAAGCAAACAATCAGCTCCAAACTGACTCCTCTGTAAACTCTTGTTTCTTAAAAAGGCATTGTTAAGACTTGATAGCTGGTTTATTGTTTCTTTGTCTCCTCTGTGACTTTCTAGAGAGGCTATGCATTTCCTTTAATCCTAGAGGCTCCAATAATGATTGGTTTCAACTTCAGGGTTGTTGTTGTTAAGTGCTGTCATTGGTTCTGACCCATAGAGACCCTGGATAGGGTTTCCAAAGAGCAGCTGGTGAGCTTGAACTGCCTACCTGGTGGTTCAAACCGACTTTGCAGTTCAATGCATTAACCCACAACACTACACCAGGTCTCCAGGGTTGTTGTTGTTATGTGCTGTGGAGTCGATTCCTACTCATAGCAAGAGCTGGTTATTTCAAACTTCTGACTGTGAGATTAGCAGCCCGATTCGTAACCATTATACTACCAGGGTGGTTGTTGTTACGTGCTGTGGAGTCAGTTCTGACTCACAGTGACCCTGCACAGTTTCCAAGGTTGTAAATCTTTATGGGAGCAGAAAGCCTCATCTTTCACCGGCAGAACAGCTGGTAGTTTCGAACTGCTGACCATGAGATTAGCAGTCTGATTTGTAACCACTAGGCTACCAGAGCTAGACTCCTCCAAATTCTAGAATGCACTTGATCTTTCTGGGTCGTAAGCTTGAAATCAAATGTGGTTGGGACTATCAAGTTCAAGTAATTTTCTGTTTATAGTCCAGACAATAGGTGTTTCTAGTTCAAAGAGAATAATTTTAAGATCTTTTTTTTGTTGTTGTTGTTTCCAAATGGTTATTTTATTAGATTGTTTGAATATTAAATTTATCTTTATTTGCAATCCAAAATAATTACCTGAAGTTTGTTCTTTTGTGTATGCATTTTTTTTTTTTCTTGTATATTTACTTTCCTAAACTCTGGCACAATTTTCTGGGGGCATTCGGACTGCCAGGATACAATTAAGGAGAGAGCTTTTCTTTCTCGCTGCCAATTCTTAGCATTTTTAACTTTTAGGTTGTTTGGTTATGACTTTGTTGTTTCCAAAGTCTGTGTATTCTATATTTGTAACAAATGCATTTTTTATTTTTTCTATATCCTCTAATTCCAGAGTTTTCTTTTTCTCCCCACTACATTCACAGTGGAACCACGTTTTCAGAAAAGGTGCCTTGATGAAAGGAAAGATCTAACTTCTAAGGCATCAAATGACTTTTACAAAATAACATTTTGATAAGCAAATATAAAAGAAACAGAAACATATGGATCATATTTCCCTTGGTAAAAGTTTAAAAGTGTAAGAGAACTTCTGATGAACACCTATTTCCCAAACTGAAAAATCTGGGGGGTTCTTAAATGGTTGAAAAATTTTTAACAAACTGTTCTGAACTATTACCTATTTTTCTTTGGAGCAACATTAAAATTAAAATTAATTATTAATAGGCTAGGATTCCTGGTGTGGCACTGTGGGTTAATGCAGTGGACTGCAGTTTCAGTTTGAACCACAAGGTCAGCAAATCAAGTTCACCAGCTGCTCCTCCGAAACCCTATACAGTGTCGCTCTGAGTTGGAAGTGACTGGAAGGCACTTAACAATTTAATGAAGCTTCCTGTAGGACTTTGAAAAAGTTCATCTCAAACTCAGATTCTTTATAAGGATAACATTACTGTAGAAAGTAAACCAGATTCATGAATGTAACCTGTATAGAGCGGTACTGTCGTTGTTGTTGTTGTTAAGTGCTGTCGAGTCGGTTCTGACTCATAGGGACCATGTACAGGATTTCTGAAGAACAACAGGTGAGCTTGAACATCCAGCCATTCAGTGACTGGCTTACAAGTTTTCAAGAGAGAATTTAGTTTCAGAGTGTACAGAGGAAGGTAGAATCCCTGCTGAATAAATTTCATCTTGTCTAGACTGATCTGGTGAAAGAAGATGGGGATAAGATTTTTATGATTCAGTAGTGAGTAATTGTTATCATGACAAACTGCAATTGTCACAATTGTAAAGGTAGAAGTTTTGTAACAAAAAGGGGGGAGTAGTTAATCTTACAGTCCAGGAACAGAGGACCCTAGGACCATCAAGGGAGAAGAGCATGAGCCGAATGTGGGACCCTATCTAGAGAAGCAGGGACACCAGAGATGGAAGCAGAGATGAGGACATGAGAGATAGAGCAGTTGAGGACTCTAGCTAGACTCACGGAAAGAGAAAGGCTGTGTGCTGGCAGCTAGGAGGCAGGCTTGCAGAATGTGCCCTTTGGTTGTTTAAGTGATTATATATTCTTGAGTGTTTTCATGTTGTACATTTAAAAAAAAACCCCACAGAGGGAATAGAAGAAAATACTGTTGAATGATGATGCATGGAGGGGATTGTAATCATTGCAATGAAACAAAATACAATAGGATGAGTGTAGAACTGATACTCTTCCATGCAAACTGTCACTCAATTTACAATAAAAACTTTTTTTAAAATGTAGGTTCTGAGTCAGTTAGAGGGGGCTTCAAAAAGTTTATGGAAAAATTCCATCGTTTTAAAATTCCTATGAACTTTTAGAAGCCCTCTCATGTGTCCGAGGTCAAAAGGAAAATTTTTAACAGAGGGTGGAAAAGCAATGAACCACTTTGAAACCCTGGTTCAATTGTATCAAAGTGAGGGCAGATTTACATAGCAAAAGGGCAAGTACAAGATGTCCATGTTTGGAAATTCGTAACCAGGGATTTACTGTATAAATCAGAAACCCTATATTCACAGGGTCACTATAATTCGGAACTGGCTTGGTGGCACTTAACAACAACAGCAACAATGTGCCAAAAAATGACTACATATGTAAATTTAAATTATCTAGTTGTTATATTAAAAAAGGATAAAAAGAAATAAGTGACATTAATTTTAATAATATTTAATCCTATGTATCCAACATATAAAGGAGCTCTGGTAACATCGTGGTTATGAATTGGGCTGTGAACCTCAAGAGCAGCAGTTCGAAAATACCAGCTGTTCAGTGGGAAAAAGATGTCATCTTCTGCTCCCTTAAAAATTTATAGCCTCAGAAACCTTGTACAGGGTCGTTATGAGTCGGAACTAACTCCATGGCATTTAACCACCACCACCACGATTTTATTTAACCCAATATATCCATCCAGTGGACTACAAGTTGGCCTGCTAACCACAAATTCAGTGGTTCAAATCTACCAGCCACTTTATAGGAGAGAGATGAAGCTTTCTTCTTCCATAGAGATTTGCAGTTTAGGAATCCTTATACATGACCTCTATAAATTAAAGATTGGCTAGGTGGCACACAACCACCACTACCACAATCCAGCATGTTATTTTACTTATTTATTTAAATGTTTTATTGTGAATTATATGATAGTTTACATGGGAGAACCTTAGCTTTACATTCATCCTGTCATATATTGTTTCATTACCACGGTTACAATTCCCTCTGTGCATCATCAGCCAACCAAAGGGTATACCCTGTAAGCCTGCCCCCCGGTCATCAGCACACAGCCCCTCTCCCTCTCTGGGTCTGGAGTCCCCAGCTGCTCTATCTCTCCATGCCATCGTCTCTGCCTCCATCTTGGGCGTCACTGCTTTTCTGGGTAGGGTCCTGCTCTCTTCTCTTCTCTCTTGATGGTC